TCTATCTATCTATCTATCAAGTATATCAAATATCCTGGAAATCGGGGCTTTCACTATGCTCTTGAAGTAGGCCTAATTGAGCTTTTTTTATTAAAATTTATTTAAGGGTCGAAATCCAGGAGCTTTCGCAAATCCCTAAGAGCATTGCCACGACCACAGTTATAATAATTTTGGCACAAGGGCGGCTGACATCGGCTGTTTTACTGCAGGAGTAGATCAGTTACTGTTGTGTCTTAATAATGTTATGTACTTCATGCAGTGAACATGGAACTTGCGATGTTCTTTCAAACGGTGTCTTGAACATTTTGCCACTGAATTTATAATCATTTTTCTAGTAGTCTCATATAATTTTCTGTCACGAGATTACGTGACAGTGACTTCATTTGGCGACATTCGCACAGTTTCGTCTTCCTTCTGCAAAGAACATCTAAATTAACGTTCTTCTACGTGGTATACAAGACAAATTAACTAATCATACTCTATTGAAAATGTCTTTCCAAAAGAATTTTGTAATAAATACGTACATTCTATTCATTTCTGTAAACAGAATGTAGAAGTGACTATTCTAAATATATGTTAATGAACCTATTCATGTTTCATAAAATCTCAACACCGTCGTTTTGACATCTAGTCATGGCCTACTTTGATTTTACGTTGAAAATTCCGACTGTGATATTCGTCATATTTCTTATAGTATTTTTTTTAAAGGGACTTCATAGCAATGTTATAGTTAAAGCAATATTAATTAAAGTTACCCCTATGAACAGTTATCATTTATATTAATTATTCAGAATTACAATCTGCAATTTACGTTTTGCTACCGAAATAACATAAAAGAGACACATCACACCAAACTGCAGTGTTTGTATTGGACAAGTACTCGATCGGATATTCAAGTTTTATTTTCGAGTTGATACATTCTAAAGTTATTTAAAGATCACGTTTCTGTTTAAGATTCTGTGTAGCGTGCCTTAAAATTTATTAACGCGCCGTGCTAGCGTCGTAGGAACTGGCCGACCTTTCGTAGATGTCTGTATTGACATTAAGGAAATTCTTTCCACACGTGGAACTCAGTCTCATAGCAGAAAGGACATCCGAAACATCGATAAAATTGTACGAAGCCGCGCTACATCGCTGAGGGTTGACCGGAATCTTCATTCGCGCCGCCCGAGAGCCTGAAATCTTCCATTGACATTGGTGGATAAACGCGTATGGTGAGTGGATGAAGATTTTAAAATACCTTCCCGTGGCCTACTTGAAATCTCTCTCTCTTCTTACCTGAAGAGATTGATAAATGCCTCACTTACGGTAATGCTGGTGAAATTACAGCTGGCTCTTGGAAACAAATCTGTAGTGTTAATGGCTGCACTGATGTGACCGGTTCCTTCCTGATTTCATTCTGTCTAACGAACTGAACTATTCTTTTAATGCATTCGGTCAGATATAATCCCTTATTTGGTGCAGTGTCGTGAAATAGCTTGCGAAGAAACTAACTACAAGTAGGAAATATATCGACATAGTAAGTCCATGTTAACATGAGGTTTACTCAAGGTATTTCGCGTCTCTTTATCTGACAGTCTGTGCGTTTGTAGATTTATACCTGTAGATTGTTACAAAACATAAATTTTCTTCGTAAGAATGTCGTGATAAGTAAGCTAACTGATTAATTTCGTGTCGAAGAAATCTGCTTTGTCCCGTCCATTGTTATTTAGCATGTTTTGGCTTGCATTTTTCGTTGTCATTCATATTGGCTGTCTTTATACTGATTTATTTTTATTTAGTGTTCTGTCTGACGACGGGTCCATATGAACAGGATCCTTCCATCCTTTTCTCGGACTGGGACCTGTTCATATACGTTCTTGGCAGATGATCCAGAAGTGGTTTGCCATTGCCTTCTTCTGTGTGTGAATGGAGTAATTGTTGGGATGCCACGGAGGAAAACTCCGTGTTGCCTAAACCACGGCCTTGCCCAACACAAGTTATAAATTCGGGCACCGCCGGGAATCGAACCCGAGACCCCAGGATTACAAGGCCAGCGTCCTAACCGCTAGACCACCGTGGCTGTTTTTATACTAATATCAATTATTAATTCTCATTTATAATTCTACGCTTCATCGATTTAACAATGTATAGTAGTTAAATAATGCAGGAACTTGGAAGAATTAAGTTCAATACTAAACGCGGACAACCTAACCTCAATGTTTGCTCACTTACATGTCGGTGTGTTAGAAACGGAGATAAACCTCAACACCTGTATTCGGGATAAGCTCCTACTTATCAGGTAAACGTGTTAATCTGGACAAAGTGATCGTCTGCCAGATGCTTGTTACACAGAGGCTTAGTGTGACGAGGAATTGGCTTGCTGTCAGGTTTTTATGACATTGTAATTTATCACGTAATGGACAGGATTAATTGCTTAACATTCACGTAGAAAAATATGTGAATTAAACGATTAGCTGTGAGACTTGTGTAAATTTACACATTCTGGAATAATCAGCATCTGTAATCTTTATTTATAAATGCGAGGATCGCCTCACGCAAGGGCTTAATATAGCTTAATGTTATAATTAAGGTATATTGAATTTGTAAATAATGGTCTAACAATGTAGCTTACAAAAGAGAGAAGGCTTGCTGTTTGAAATTACAACAAACATTGTAATAGTAAGGTATAAAAACAACTTTCACGAAGGAATTAGTAGGGAACATCAAAATTTCTCTATGACGTATGGAAACTAAACTTTGAGATTCCATTTTAAAAACATACAGTTATGTGTTTATTTTATGTACCCTAAATGTACTTAAAACCTAACACAACCTAACCTAACCTCACCTAACCTAACACAACCTAACCTAACCTAACCTAACTAACCTAACGTATCTGACGTACTCTAACCTAACCTCACCTAACCTAACCTAACCTAACACAACCTCACCTAACCTAACACAACCTAACCTAACCTAACTAACCTAACATAACCTAACCTAACCTAACCTATCTGACGTACTCTAACTAACGTAACCTAACCTCACCTAACCTAACCTAACCTAACATAACCTCATTTAACCTATCCCAATGAACCCACTTCAAACAATACAACCCATATTTAAGCAACATACGAGGAAGAGCTGGTTAATACAGATGCGAGTTCGCAAATAGAATTTAAAGATGTCAGAATATGATGGAAAATCTGGGTATGTTTTGAACTAAAAATCGATACCAACGTCGAAATTGGATTTGTCGATGACAATGATGTGTGTGTGTGTTTTGTTTTCGAGAATTACAATGGCGATGAAGTTTGTTGGTAGGCATAAGTGCGCATGCGTCCACTACATGTTGAAAGTGGAAAAATTTATTTCGGTGTAACGACCATCTCTTCATGTCTAATAGCTGAAACATTTCATGTCTTTAAAATAGAAAGTTCTACGAACGTTGCTCTGAAATTATATCCATTTTGATTGTAAGAGTAAGAGATGACCAATTTACGAGACCTAGTAATACTTTTCGACTCCCGCTCCGAAATGCAGTAGTCCCCTCCATACCGGTAATCAACATCTATCAGTAGCGATGTTCTGGTGACTTATAGCCGCCGTAAGATGGGTTAAGTTCCTCCGTGGTCTTGAAGCATGCGTTGTGTTGATGGAGGGGAGTTTCTGATTTCTCAGTACAAATGATCATGTAAAGAATTCCATCAACGTTTAATCGTGTTGTGATTTCTGGCGTGTTGATTCGTCCTGCTTCTGCGAGTAAATTTCTGAATTTGAATATTTATTTAGCTAGAGTTTTGTATTTTGGGTCAGCTTTCTCTTGTGCAGATCTCTTCCGACTGCCAAGAGTTCATATCAAAAGAAATCTTAGAAAACAAGAAAAACTTTATTATAACTACATAGTTATTGGCTGTTCATTTAATAGTACAGTTGTGAATGACGTATATTATCCACGGAATTCTGTTAACAACACAACTACAATAAAAATAATTATACTGTATATTAAATTAAGTGACGGAAAGTTAAAATATCACTTGAGATGCCTCGGAGTTTCTCTTTATGATATTTATTTTGAAAGGTTCTGAAAAGAGGACTTTTGTCCAGCATAGCTGTTCACACAGTGATGTAATACATACGTGACG